ACAATTGAAAATAACAGTTCAAATATTTTCCTAATAGAATTATTATTTTTAATTTCCAAAATTTATTCATATTCATGATCTCCTTGTTAGAGATTACATGTCTTCAAAAATTAAGTCGAAAAATTCATTGCAAAAATAGATTTTTAAGAGGTGACTCATTTCTACATGGACTCATAGAAATTGTCCTTCAATAAAATACCAAAGAGGGGTTTGGGGTTAGAGTCGGTGCAAGGACATTTGAGTATTTATGAAACTTTGTATTAACATAGTATAGGGCAATGATTTCATGTAACCATTGCATAGTAATATGATGCAATAACCTTAAACAACCATCTTATGGCCATTTGTTTGATCCAAATTTTGAAATATACACTCTTTTCATTCTAATGAACAATCACAAAGAAAGAAAAAATTGAAAACATAACTTAGAAAATATTTTTTTAGCCCAATTAACATAGGCCGTTCATTTTGGTGAGATGATTAGATCTAGGCCTTAGAAAGATTTTTTCATTTTCAATTTTTTTGGATAGTTTTATTATCATTGGATGAACAATTTTAAAAAAGAAAAAAAATGATTTTTAGTTTATAAAGGCTAATATCTTGAAATTCACAAAATGAATGGTCTAGATTCGTTTTTTGAAGGGATTCATTTTGACCATATCTAGGGTTCAAATTGAACTATTTTTTAGGGGGGGGTTGATTACTGAGATGAAGAAAGTGTGTGTGCAAAATTTGGGGTCATACAAATACCACAAACATAGTTTTTTAGAAGTGTCGCTTCATTGGATCATTGCTTATGGACTTACACAAAATTTTGTTCATCTATTTATATTAAGGATGAGTTTTTTATAAAGCCTAGGCTTTATGAAAACAAAATTAAGCTTCACGTCAAATCCTCATTGGAAAAGTACTTTCGGCAATGGAAATCGCTTGCTCCTCACTTAACGGGGCTTGTTCCTAGATCTCTCCTTAAACTTGTGGCAGCTCCTTCGGAATTGCATCGCAGAAAACATGGGCCACCTTGAGAGCTCAAAAAATAGGAGTGTTTGTTGCCTTCTCTTAAAGATCGACCTATAAGAGCAGTTGAGTCTAGCAAAGTCTTGGTTCATGACCTTGATAGGGAAAATACAGATACTGCATGTTTCACCCTGTAATTGTCACATTTTATTGAAAATTGCGGGTGAAACGAGGCACAAAATAAACAATTTCTCAAATACTTTTGGAGGAAAACCAAAATCATTAGCAGTCTTTTTATTTCCAGGCAAGAAAACTTTACCATCTCAAGACAATATTTGCTTCTTACTAAAAGTTCTTGAGGCAAATTTATCTTAGAGATACAAAGAAACATAAGATTGAACATTATCTTTTCTATATAATATACAAGAATGGTAAAATTCTAGAGCACCGGAATTGTGTTTTTGTTTTAAAGAGAGAAAGTTCACACAAAGAAAAAATGGGTCTGGAATTACATGCAAAATGATGATTCAAAGTATATGTTCCAAAAGAGAAGTCCAAATCCCTTACATAAAGAGAAAGAAAGCGCTCTTTCAAAATCACCTAGTGTGACTGCTTAATACACTCGAAATAATGAATAGTTGTGAGTCTTTGTTGACCAATTTCAAATGTCATAAAATGGCCCATCAATTACAATTGCACATGCCACTGGACGATCAATAGCCACACTCGTTCATGGCAACTTTTCATGCTCCAAAAAAAATGAAGTGAAACATTAAAATCGCAGCCACAGTGATCATCCTGGTGGGAGCAGAGGGCTGGCAATGGGCTGGTTGGCACAATCCTAAAAAACAAGGGCTTAGGCCACAAAATGTGGGCTGGTTGGCACAATCCTAAAAAACAAGGGCTTAGGCCACAAAATGTGGCCTGAGGGACTGGCCAGGGCCAAGTACCATGGCCCGAGGAAAGGGCCGGGCCAGACCTAGCCAGCTCCAGAATAGGGCTACCCAGTTCGGCCCAACCCATCCCTTTTTTTTCTTATTATTTTTTGTGTACTTTTTATTATACTTGCCCCTGCCCTGATAGGGTTAGGCCAAGATTGATCTAAGGCCTCTTCGGTCCTATCAGGGCGGGGTCGGTCGCCACTCCTGAGTTTTATGTATGTTATGCACCTACTTGTACATCTAAATGGTGAGCTTCCGCCGTGCCAGATTGTCCGAAATGCACCCCTCCCTGGCAGGTCACTTATTTGCACTATCAAATAGCACATAAAACTCCACTGCAGAAAATTAAGCTGATTCGCATAGATGCGCCATTAGCGCATGCACATATTACTGTCGATGCAATGGTGCAAAGTGCGACTCAAGTGCCTCTGCACCAGGATGCAATGGTGCAAAGTGTGACTCAAGTGCCTCCGCAGCGGGAAAGGGCTGGATCGCGGTGGTAGTACATCACACCCTAATCATCACGTTGTGCTTTTCATTCTCACCACTAATATCACCCGACTAATACCTTCAAAAAGCTAACTCTTAATCTACTTGAAAAAAAAACAACTAAGGCCGATCTTCTCCACTGAATTACCAAAAAAACAAAAATGTGCCCCCTCACCTGCGCACACGTTGCACTACGCACATGCTCTGTAAATGCCATTTCCCCAAGTTATTAGAACGCAACAGAATATCTGAGTCCCATGCTTAAGCATAACTTTCTTTTCTCTATTCTCTAACATGGGATTAAAACACACTACTCTCAATACATAACCGCAAAGTTACATAAGCTAAAACTAATGAAATAATATTATTTATTAAAAAATACCCAATATTTTTTTTAAAACAAAATTACTAACACTCTCACTCCGACTCTCCTGGAGCAGTGGAGCAAGAAGCTTACAAATATGGTGGGGGAGACGACTACTTCACAAATAATGTTTGCAAACTCGGCTGGTCAAACTCGAAATTGGCCCGTTAAACTGGAACCGAGCACTGGCCGATCCAGTTTTGGCCAATTTTGGTGGTCCGACAAGGTATTTTAAAAAAGTAAATCAATAAAATCCCAAAAAAATAAGAGATTTTTTTATAATGTGTTTTTATCATTTTGGCAAAGATTGAAAAGATTTTTTGTGATGAATACTTATTTTATCTTTTTCCCATCTTTTTTAAAAAAATTTAAAAATACCCTTGGACACAAATGGATTTTTTAAAATCCATTTTTTTTGACAACTTTTTAACTTCAATTGGATATGCTTTATTTAATCATGCTTTTCATTTTTCTTGTATTTTTTTATTCTTTTAACACTTTTTGGATCAGCCAAGACCTACCCGGTTAGGCCGGTTGAACCAGCCGGTTTACTGGTTACTTGGACCTGGCCCTTAGCAGGTTTCTGAAGCAGGTTTGATTTTTCAAACACTAATCCCAAAAGAATGAGATATGAGAGAAGGGACTGGAATGGAAGAGATTTTTTTTAGTACATGTAGAAAAAGGAACTACAAAGTCACGTCATGTGCTTAGGATTTGATGGATGTTTTTTGCAGCTCCTCGAATTTCCAAGACATTCTCACTCCAGTTCGCCATGGCCCCTGTTGTGGCCATGTTGATGGGACTCTGATCTTTAGGGTTAATTCTCAGTCTTTGAGGTGAATTACCTTCGGCCACAAGACAAGAGCATAATCATAATTTAATTTTTCATAGTATCAGCTGCCATTTTGATCAGTGTTAAAAAACATGAAGTTGGTGGCAACTTGGCTAATGCCAGAACCGAGTTGAAGGAGTAATCTCTCCAAAAATCAGGACAGTTAATTTTTTTCTTTTTTTTTTTTACGTGGTGAAGCACCCTGTCCAAACAGCCTCAGAACCACTTTGGATTTTGCATTGAAATAATGAGTAGCTGCAAAAACATATACGTACAAGTAAACAAGCGATTCATTTCTAAAAACAACACAAGCTTGTCAAGTTTTTTCAAGTTGAAAATGATTTTGTGATCACTGATTTTTACCAATATCTATCAAGAGTCAAATATTCCTAAGTCATGTCCCTTAGGCATCCGCCGGCAAATACCACACTGCATAGTATGTGAATATATTTTTCTTTTGGAAAAAGTTTATATAAGGTTGCAACCTTATACCGTTAAAGTAAAGTGCGCCTCAAAAATCCACAGTGGAGAGTGTTACGGCATAACATAACCCTCTAACTGATCATCTCGACCTTAAGATAAATGGACCTAAGAAAAAAAAGAATTCCAAGTCCAAAAAATATTGCATCTTGTAACAAGTTATCTAGACCGTCTATTTTCAAGATTGTCAAGTGTTTCTTTATCGGTTCGATCTATATCATTTTGGAAATTTTAAATTTTTTTTTTATCGGCTCGATCTATATCATTTTTTAAATTTTAAATTTTATAACTGAGGATAAGCGCTCAAAAAAAATTATAACTAAGGATAAAAAGAGATTTTGACGCCATCTTAGTGTTTTTTATGCCAAAATGACATCTGTAAGTAAATTTTATAGGTGCGCATACTTCTAAGGTATAAGGAGGCAACCTTATACAAACCTCACCCTTTTCTTTTAAACTTGAATAGTAAAAGAGCAGATTTGAATCTGTGGCCTCACAGTAGTTTACCGCAAGGTCCAACCACTTCAACAGTCCATGTTAACGTGATATAAACTTACATTATAAACCATATATACCAATTTCTTAGTCTTTCAGAGTTTTTTAATATTTTCCCATATCGTCGATCCAGGCTGATCCCGATTGGTATTTAGCAATCCGACATGGGATCCATGGGTGGATGATCCACCCCACCGATCCATTTCATTGAATATCATTTTAACGACAATGGTCGTTACGGAAACTAGTTCAATTTTCCATCAAACCATAAGTGAAAATCCAATTCCCTAGCCTTAGATCTTAACATAAAATCAATATTGGATCGAGTGATATTGCTTAGCTGGCCCAATCCTTAGACTGAGTGGTTTAATCTGTAAAGACCCCAACAGATACATCCAAAACAAGAATATATATCTTGCATGGCCACCATTTACATAGAAGAGAAACACAAGCGCAGTTTGTATTTTATAAGAAAATATGATAAAAAAAAAGTGAAATATCTACATATTGATTAAGAAGTTAACTCTGCATTGTAACATGTATACTTGATTCCATTCTTTTATCTTTTTCTTTCTTTAAATAATACAATTGTGGGGGCCCTAAACCCAGCTGACCCATAAGAATAAGAATAAGAATTTGGATCATATGACTAAAATGGGGCACAAATAAATCTGACCTGATGAAAAAGCTGGGCAAGAAAATGAACACATCCATCTTCTCCTTCTTCATTCTACATATAAAAACCATGAAGACCCATATATTTGTGTCAGTATTGCAAGCTCTAAAATTCTACATGGAACGCTGCAAAAAAGAACAAATGATAATCAAAGCCTATTTGATACATTTGAGATCAGAACACCTGGTTACAAGTTTTCCCTTTAACAATCAGATTATCTATTGAATGTTATGAATAACTTTGCACTAGTGAGAGTTGGCTTGGGAAAAAAATAAAACAAAAAACAAAAATTGTGTGGAAGCCAAGACTCAACTTCCACTGATGTGGGGGTTTTGGCAACCATACCTCACCCCCCCAAACCCCCACCCAAGCGGAGATCCAAATGATGGCATATCATACAAACCCTTGTGCCATATAGGCAGTAAGCATCAATATACTAAAAGTCTCGCATAGCCATAAAGCATGCAGACTAGAAAACTTCCAATATTAACCCTATACTTGCTGCTTGTAGCATTGGTATTCCAGGAACTCCCATGGATTTATGTATAATGCAAGACTATCTTCTCATTAGTTCTAAATAACTCTTTTTTTTTTTTGAAGCAAAAATGGAACTTGGAATATGTTCTAAATAACTCATAAATCACTCATTCACAGCGACAAGCGATCCCTGTCGAAATGATGAAGTGAATACACTATTTCAGAAAATAAAACAAAATAATTGTAGTTGAATTTTTCTCAAAAAGTAAAGAACAAATTCACATTCAACCATCTGGTTTTTAATGTCAAAAGTCCAAGGCATACGAAACCAATAGTAGAAATTTAAACTAACCATAATAATTACACCAACCCCGCCCCCCCCCCCCCCACCACCCAAAAACAAAAAAACAAACGAGAGAGAAACATGGCCAACAAATTTACAAGATATGAACAGTGTGCATATTAAAATCTATTATCACTAATAAAATAAGATATGTGTGCATTTATACGTGCGGGTGTATATCTGTGTGTGTGTAGAGAGAGAGCGTGCACACGAGAGAGAGAGAGAGAGAGAAAAACCTTCAGATGTAGATCTGCTGATATAGCATGAATCTAACGGTCATGTGTCTACCCATGGCTTCTTGGATCAACCACTTGGTGCACCTTTCTGGATTCCGCACTGGTGTATTGGCCGATCACCTTGGCATGAGGTATTGAAGGATCACCTCTTTCAAGGGCGGCAACATTCTCGAGTAGATATTGCTTAGGAAGTCGACCAACAACATTGCCTTCCTCATTTCCATCTTTGTCCAAGAATGAGAAGTGGGGGATCCCCTCAACCCCAAATTCATCAAGTTCTTGTTCCCACTTTGTGTTATCAACATTCAACATTACAAAATTCACCCGGTCCCTAATGGAAAAGTTGAGTTTTTAGTTAATGATAACAAGGACTTGATGTTAAAATAGCCTTGATATCTGGAAAGGAAGAGTATATGTCATAATCCAATAGACAACAAAAGCAAAATCCGGGGTCAGCACCATCCAAGGAAATTGGATGGTGATGGAGAGAGCAGTTTCACCGGTTGGAGTCATCTCCTACTCCAGTGGGTCCATCTCTCTCCATCACTGACCATTGACAAATGCTGAAGTCATGAATTCCTGATCTACTTAATAAAATTTCATTGTTTCTGAAATAACAGCAATTCCATTAATATATATATATATATATATATATATATATATACACACACACACACGAGGGAATCCATAGTAAGTAATACTGACATTTGGAAACAGTATATCAGCTCAAAGAAGTGCAATCAAAGGTAACCCAGGGTAAGTGACAAGAAAATCAATTATCTATTAAAAAATTGAAAGTTTTTTACTAAAATAAAAATTTGCTCCTGTTAGGAATGAAAGACATTACTTGTACTTCTGCTCAACTTTATATACATCTGGAGCTAATTCCCGGCAAACTTCACACCAATCTGCATAGAATTCTACAACTGTTGGCATCCCATTTGAAAGAGCCTGGAAAGTAATTAACAGTAGCCCCACAATCAATACAAAGCCATGGACAAAGGAAATTGATATAACAATCCAACATATTCCCAGATAACTGTTTAGTTTCATGCAACCATCAATATTAATTGGTGTTCACAATCTCGTAACCCATCAGACTATAAACAAATGGTCCTTTATTGCAGGGAATGGACCTTGTTACTGTTCAATGTTCATAATAAGGCTCCTAAGGTAATCCAAATACAAGCAAAGCTGACCAATCACAAAACATCCTCCAGTCTTCCGTGAACTAGATCCATTGCTTTTTGTTCTGCCATAAACATTGGCAACTTGTTGGATCAAGGTAAGTGGCAGCTTCGCCAAGGTTGTGACGCTCAAGAGGAGTGCAAGAAACATATCAAGTTTCAAACATGTTCAGGTGCATCAGCCAACACACCTATCTAAAGTCTCCTTCTGAAAACCATCTTAGATATGGGTTTCGAGTTTCGACCTAAAATTTCAGAGATTGAGAAGCCAACCACCATGATCATGAATCAAGGAAGAAGAAAAGATTTCAAAACCTAAAGATAGACTGTTTTAACTTTGCTTTTTAACTATTCATTTTTTCCATAGATTATCAGATCTGCACTATCTTTTGAGCTGCAAATTCATGTATCTAAGGCAGAAATCCATATAGAGTGGCTTGGGATGTGTTTCAGATCCTAAACCCATCTCTAAGCTGGATTTTTGGCAGTAAAGCCATATGAATAGGACCTTATTTAAACTTTTCTCTATTGCTATAGGAAGCAACTTAAAGCATCATAACGGGACATTCTCGACACTAATAAAGGCAAGGCCCTAGTTACCGGCAATTTAGAAATCGAATCAATTTACGAATCGGAAGTGCAGAATCACCGCTAGCTAGAAGATTCTTGTTTTCGGAATCAACATCCATGCAAGAGGAATCATGGAGGACGAGATTCCTATTTTTAGGAATCGAGATTCGAATTAAAGTAGAATCAAGATCCCTACATAGATGAAACCGAGATTCCTAGCTCTTTGAAATCGAGTTTCCGGCCGAGTCGCAAACAATATAGAATCGAGATTCCTCCACTAATGGAATCAATATTCAAATGATAGGAAACAGAGAAGGAAATAATACATATCTCAATGTCATACATTGACCGACATGTCATATATGCACGTTTACATTCTTTGTATTACATTATTTTTAACATTTTGAAGTTGCAATCTTTCCATTGGATCAATACAATGCATACTTAAATAAGTAGAGAACGTGGAACACCACTATGGTTGCTATTGGTCACTTCATACCAAAAAAGATCACTACACCTTGTAGCTTGAGATTGATTGTCTAGCTCGAGTAGTTTGATGCCTTGAAAACTTCTAAATATTACTTCTCAAAAAAAAGCAAAAACAAAGAAAAGGGGGGAAATAATAGAATTCCGGTAAATACGGAAAAAAATTTCAACAAATGTACAATCGAGATTCAGTAAGTATGGAAAATAAGATTCTACAAGTGTTGGATCAAAGTTTCAAAAATAAGAAATCGAGATTCTAGACTTCACGAGAACATGTTCCATGAAGATTCCTAGTCAGAATTGCCAAATCGGGGTTCTGAATAGGAATGACAACCTTCAGTGAGAATGTAAAGGTTAATTCTCAAATGGACAACAGAGAATGTAAAAATTGAAGAAAATAGAACATTCCTCAGGCAGAATACACAATAGTTATATAAACTGGGTGTGGTGCATATACAAATACAACCTATGTACAATAAGACCATGTGTTAATACCCACTCAAACATTACCATGCACTTCCATGAGCAAAATCTTAATTAACAAGGTTAAGGTAGTTATTTTATCTTGGCTTAACGATTTGAAAACAGGGGCCAACAATGTTAAGATGCATGTATCTGAAAAGGTCTATATTGTGGCTGTATATAGGCATAGATATTTGGCCTTTGTACCCCATATACGTTTCCAACATTCACTTAAATATCCAATCAGTTTATGAGGATCAGATTGGGCTTCCTTCTTTGCCATTGTTTTTCTTGTTCTAAGAAGAGGCCAAAGACTTCAGCATCGGTGATTGGGAAAACCATGTAGGTACTTAATATTTTCTGCAAGTTAACATCTCCTGGTTCTTTCATTAAGAAGAACTATTTTGTCTTATCTTGCATTTCCATTTTTCCTACAGGACATTAGAGTTCCCCCCAAGGTGGTTCTAGACCATATTCCTGGTGGGGGTGTTTCAGTGGGGTCGGAACTTCTCTTTCATGCAAGTAGAGGATTTTGCTCATATCTTAACTCAATAGAAGTCAATAGGATCATTCTAAATGAGGACTTTTAAAAATTTTCCTTGGGGTTCAAATTCCCAAAAATAAGGGTTTTAAAGTTGAGTTTAATTTTACCTCGGTCTTTGTAATCACCTATCCAAAACGAAAGTTCTAATAGTTTTGCCATTGATGACAATTCATGATTAACGTTAGGTGTCTCAAATTCAGGCCTGATATGGAAAACTACATTTAATTTGATACTGAGTAGTGGGTAAGACTGGCTTGAGTTTTCCTTTATGATCATTAAATAAGTGAATAGAAACAGTAATGTGATGGGTGCATGGTTTCTATTACTTGGTAGATAAATGTGAAGACTGAGGCCCCATTGGGATACATTGGTAGTCATATCAAAGAACTGGCACCGTTTAATTTAATGGGCAATACTAAAAAACTGTAGTCTTAAGTAGTCATAGTCATAACCTGAAGTCCTCTATCGGGAATAGAGGAAAACAACTTCCTTTTATTATTTTTCATCTTCTTTTTTTTTTTAGCCCTAGGGATATTTCAACAGATTCACATAAAATAGGTTCCCCGTGAATAGCAGTGGATGAAGCTGGGATGCCTATCCCTCTTAAACATGTGAAGATGTTTTCAAAATAAGTATCTTATTTACCTTTTTTAATCTCCCTTTTCCTTGTTACTTTGCATTTCTTTTTCTTAATTTGACAGGCTATTTGATGGTTTCCCCTTATATATCAGATATAGTCCAAACTCCTAAGTGACTCTTGACAACATTGTATAAACAAATATGTAACTTGTTCTATGTGATTATTTAGTCTATTTTTACTACAATGATGACATATATGAATGTATTTGGTTCTGTCATGAGCATGGTTGGTAGTTATTCTGATGGAACTATTATTTTCTCCGTGAAGAGGGTAGGCCCTATGACCTGAACTCTCACATCTGGCAACCGAGTATTAATCGAAATGATCTCTTATTGGATGATGTCCATAAAGCTTTATAGTCAGATTTTGCAAGGGGGATGAACATGGTATCTTGCTCTTTATAACATATAGCTCTATAGGTCAGAGATGCATATCCAGCTATTGGAAACTCTAATGCGTTTAGTTTTTGGAGGATCAAGCTGGCTCTATAATTTTGATATACAACAGTGCATTAATTTTAAGCAGTAATTTAGAGAAAATGACACTCACCAAGTTAATTAACTGAATACAATGCTTACAAAGAATTCTAGATAATTCAAAATTAATAAACTGTCTAAATTTCCAATAGTTTAATATTGAATTATACCAACCATGTACATCAAATCCAGAATAATAGGTGCAAAGAACCATGGTATCCCAATCGACGTAACATGATAAATACATATACATGGCTGTGATTCACATTAGTAAGGTCCATGTTCTTTATCGCAGTAATAAGCTGATCATCAGGGATTCATAAATCAGGTAGCCTGATGAGAGTCAACAGACCAACCAATGACACATTCTAGAGAAATTTATGGACTGTTAATAAACAGAGAGCAATTTTACTGAGTGGGTGGAAAAAGCAAATAGCAAGATGGAAAATGCTTAAATGGGTAAATTACCCTAAAGGTGGGAAGAGGCCAGGCCCAAAGTTTGCAAATTTCCAAATAAATACAAGCAGAGAAATATGGTCACATCATCACTGTTACCCATGACAAATGACAAAAACTAAAGAAATTTTAACAAATACTAATGTTCTAAAACTTGCCAGATCCAACTCGGACTTGGGCGAAGTACTTGGAAGGGCTCGCAACACGCTGGGGACCTTACTGTAGATTAAATGCCCGAACAGTGACTGAGGCAGTTTTCTGTTGGGCTAAGGCGGAGTCCAGGGACCTCAGGTGAGTCCTCCACGACTTGCTTAGTCCATCACTTTTTCCAGAAAATAAAAGGGGGCCGGAAATCCGACACCTTTCTTGCTTGTTATTGTCACAAAGAGCTCCAATCACCCTGAGAATTCATCCCTTACCCTGTTCTAAAATCCTCTATCGAACCCAAATCATAAATTCAACAAAATAATTTCAAACTCTCGGATTTGTGAGACTCATTTTCTGATCCCCTTTTCTTGCTCATTTTTCACAATCCTCGCTTGATTCACCCTGAAAGTTTGTCCCCAGGCCTATGTTCATGTTCTCTATTGAATCCTCAGCTTCTTGTCAGCCAAAAAAAGTACCTCAAAATCTCAGGATTTGGAATATCAAAATATTTTGGCTGAAAACTTCACGACCTTTGGAGCAACTAGATCCATTCTCAAACCAAATATTAACTTTTCAAAAAATTTCATTTTGTAAATAGATTTTCATAATCTCTTATGATGTTCCCCTTTTTCTGATTTTGCACGATTTTTTTAGCCTTTTCCTTCAACTAAGGCAGGACTTGGCAAGTCAACTCTGGACTCACTAAGCTGACTCGCCCCAGGCAATCCCCATGTTCCAGAGCAGTTCCATGTTTTAAAACACTGAGTTATACAGTCTTATCAATAAGGTGAATCCTTTGAAATATACAAAACAAATCAAGTTTCAAGGGTTGTTTTTCACACTCACTCTGTAATTTGTTGAGTCCTTTCATTACAATATTGAAATGATGTCAACGTATCTGACAAATTAAGTATACTAGTTTGGACATCAGTCTCACACCTCACTTTTCACACGCCATTCACATTTTTTAATAAAGATCGCTTACACTGAAATTATTCTAATCTATAAGGTGATATCCTCAATAATCGCAAAAGCCAGAATCAGTGTGGCATGTCTTACAAGCATGAAAATGGTGCATGCATCTGAAAAATAATAAAAGTACAGTCAACAACAGATTGTGAAGTCTTTTAAACAAGCATTGGTTCTAATACACACATTTCTAACAAGCAATAAGAATAAGAAATATATATGGCAGTGATAAAAGGGTTACATGAATATGAAATGCCAATATAGTACAATCAACAGAAAAAAAACAAGATGTGTTAATTAATACCAACTGACCACTTCATATGGCACAGCAGCAGCAGAGAGATCTTTTAGAGAAACCCCAACTTCTATTCTTGTTGTTAAGAAGAGCCCAACGGCTGCAATAGTGGAAGCCAATGCTATCCCCTTATTGATCTGTTTGTTCGGAACACCATCGTTTCCAGCATTTTGAGTAGTTTTGGCAGGCTCACTTTTGTTTTCTTTACCTGAACCAGCCTCATCATTAACTCCTTCCTATCAAATAAACCACAGACAGCAAACTAAGACAAGGTTTACATCGAAAGAAAATAAGTAGACAAGTCTCTGCTTTCCAAGAGGGAAATTATACCAAAATCCAATGGACTGAGGGAAATCATAGTCCAGTTGGGTCATCATCGTCCAATGAAACGATGGTTCATCAAGAACAGAGAACTGGGCCCACAGGCTATGTAGTGTTCTGTGGACCGTATTTTCCACAGTCCAATGGATTATCATATACTTTCCCTTATATAAATCTAACTGATTTTTAATTGTGAAAATAAATTAATGGATCTGAACTATGATATTCCGAATGACTGGTAGAAGCATACGTTAAAGGACCGAAAAATATATATTGCTCAATGCCTTCAGAATGATATTCCAAAATATAAATTAGTGAATGTCTTCACATTGATTGTCCATCAAACAAGAAATATATTATGCATCCATCCATAAGGTCAATACACATATACTATATATATGTGAATTGTATAACTGACTAAATGGAAATAGAGGAGACCTCTCCTTGGTATTCTATGTAAGAAGCTTTGGACCTATCATGCATCAAACTAAAGCATCATACATGCCATGATCAAGAAGGCATCATTATCTATGAATTAACCCCAAATCCAAGCACCACAAGATGAGTGTTCTGAGGTAAATCACTTCGAACTTCTGAATTGGCCATTTATAACCAAATTATGCAAACTCTAAAGCAAGATTTACCTCAACTAGGATTCCCAGTTTACTTTGTAGATTAAACTACTTGGATAAATCAAACAAAAACATTAATAGGCAGGTAGAATAAACCAAATAACAGATAAACAAAAACTACAGAGTTCAATTTATCAGGCTATATGAATTAACTACCAGCATTGATCCAACTTTCATGAATTCAAAGGCTAACTCCAAACACAAAGAGTACAACAAACAATAAAATTCAATATTGAATGACCAAAACGAATTGCAAATTCAAAATATATTCAGAGAATTCCAAATAAACCACAATGCCTAGACAGATTCTACAAATTCGTTGAATTTCCTCAGATTTCTAACGTTTTTCCTGCAAATATGGGTCACGAAAAAATTACCCAGAAACCGCAGTCTAAGTCAAATTAATTCACATACAAATGTATTTTTGTGACTGTTCTTGAGAGAGAGAGAGAGAGACTAACAGCTATGAGTGGTTCAGGATTAGGATTAGGATTAGGATTAGTCTGGCAACAAATCCTTCGAAGACCCAATCCTCTGGTTTGAAATTGGAGAGGGGCACCCAAAAATGGAAGAGAGAGAGAATTTGAACTGCGTGGAGGGAAACTAATAAGAGGCCCCCATTTGCAGTTCAGCGCCATGGCTTCTCTCTCTAAATTTTGTTACTTTGCAATGGAAAAGAAATGGGAATTGGGGACACATTCTTTTTATTCCTGTCCAGCTTCAGACTACAAAGGATAAGGTAATGATTTCAAATTAAAAAAAAAAAAGAGCACAAAGAATAAGGTAAAATAAAAAAAAATAAAACAAAAAAGAAACAAAAATCAAAATATTGTTATAGTTATTCCTATCCTTCGATTTTTTAGAATTACAACCTTGTCCTAATATTTCGCTATTTTAACTTTAAGGCATGATGGATATTTGTAGCTCATGTACGTACTCCCATGTAGCATGTTTTTCTGAATTTTGATTCTTTCAACACGTTTTTTGTATTTACAGATTTTGTTTTAGACTTCTGTATTGAATTATTTTGTATCGGACTTCTAGGTTCTTAAACCCCAAAAAGCAGTATCTATGATCAAGAATTAACAGCTTCCAATTGTATTTTACTTCTTCTTTTTTTTTTGCCTGAAACGTTTGCTCGTTAATAAATATTTAGTCATTCAAGTTCTTAAGAACTCATAATGGATATTTTTTTACTATATATGTCTGTTCCACTCCCTGGCAAGGTTCTGTCATGTTTTTTTTTATTATGTAAAGGCTAAATTGTTACTAAACCCTTGAATTTAATTCATTTTATTATGTAAATGCTAAATTGTTTCAGTTTTGTAAGTGTAATTATTTTGCTTTAGTTAAGTAATCCGGGCAAAATAATATCTCTAACCTCACTGAACTAACAATTCATTTTTCATTTGAAATTGTTGGGTCTCCAAAAATGGAGTAACATGTCATTTTGCTAGAGGAGTAATATCATTTCTTTGCTCAAATTAAGTGTCTCGAGTAAAACGACAATTCCAGCCCCATTTGATTAGAATAAGGAACCAAAATTTCATTTTTTTTATTATAAATTTTTGTTCTTAGTTCCTAATCATGGATAAAAAGGTTATTTACATTACTTAACTTTGGTCATGAGCATAATTGAATGACACTTGGTAAAGTGGTGGCCATTTTTTGAAACATAAATCTTCATGATAGTTCTAAAACCAATTTCCATCATAGACAATACATTTTGAAACCCAAAAATTGTTCAGATCTTGTGGATCCGTGAATGCTCATGTTTACGACAAAATAGATGGTCTAGATAGTTTATTACAATATATATTGTTTTTAGAGTTTGAAATGTTAATTTATTTGACAATCATAATGTTCAAGCCGAGATGATCCGTATAAAAGGTTTTCCAAATGCTTGAATTGCAATTTTCAATGAGTTATGAGGCAAGGCTTTATTTATTTTGATTGGGCTGCAGCCCTATCAAACTATTTTCCTTAAATAAAACTTGGGAGGAGGTACCAATTTGAAGGGAACACTCTAAACAGCCACTCTAATGCAATATTAATTGATTGGACTAAATGATTTCTCATGTGCTCTCCCTAGAATGATATTTTCCTCTTTATTTTCACGAAATATTTTGTTGGAAAACCTTTCCCGCCTTGCCACCTCAGCTCGCTTTACCAGCCGTCCGATCTTCGCACTCTCGTCCCCTATAAATACACCCTATGCCTTTCCCTCCAATTCATTTCAGACTGGTTGCCTCCATAAAAGGGTTTTGAAGTTCCAGTGTCTTTGCATTTGAATTCGGATTTTGGGGTTTCTTCCCTCCATTTTCAAGCCATGGAGAAAGAGAATACTCTAACTGATAACCCTTCTTCTCAAGAAGCCGTAGTTGTGGAGATGGCTGCTGAGCCCTCTGCATCAGTAGATGGAGCTTTGTCGAAAGGTATGGATTTGGGTTCACAAGTAGGGGAAGCTTCTGGTTCACAAGGGATTGAGGGATCGAGTGAGAAAGCCCTCGAATTTGCAGATGAATTGATGGAGAAAGGGCGTGAGGCCATTAGGTCTGATGATTTTGTTGAAGCAGTTGATTGCTTGAGCAGAGCTCTCGAGATCAGGTTATACTTTGGATACCACACTGTTTCTTGTGTGGTTTTCTTGAAAATTGTTTGATGTTTTGGCTTATTTCTTGAGATTTTGACCTTGCATTTGGATCAAGGTACATTAGAATAGACCGAGGGTCTCTGTTATGTGATTATGGTTATCATCTGAGGGTTTTGCCCTAATTGAAGCTAAATGCATTCTCAGAGATGGAAAAGGAAATGCATGCATTTCTCTTTATTAAACGCAAGATTTTTTTGTTTTAATAGTGTGTGTTTATGTTGGTGGCATCTTCTGTGATATATTCATGGATCAGAATTACATTCTAAAAGACATTTGTGTTTATTTTTGCTTTGTTCGACTCTTCCCCTGCATTATAGATACTTTCTGATACTAATTTGGTTGTATTCTAAGCATACATGGTGTTTTCCATTTCTTAAATTTGACTTCAGTATGGCCTCTAACAACAAATACAACACAGGTTCTTTTTTATGTTCCAAATGCTGTTTTCAGATAGATTTAAGTTATTGCAATTGTTTCCAGTAGTTTAAATTTTGATATTACATAGTTGAAAGTTGAAACTGTTGTTGCACATTTAACTATGTCTTCTTATACTCATCAAAGAAAACTGACTAATTGCCCTTTTCTTCGTTATTCTCAGGGTTCAGCATTATGGTGAACTTGCCCCCAAGTGTGCAATGTCCTATTACCATTATGGGCGTGCATTGCTCTACAAAGCACAGGAAGAATCTGATCCACTAAATGTTAGCGTAACAATGGCTAAGAAAGCAGCCAGTTCTTCAGGTCCTGGAAAAATGGATATTGATCTGAGTAAAGGGAAGGGTGTTGCAAATGGTGAAGCTTCGACAGCCTCTGATGGTCTGAAGGATAGTTCCAATAAGGGCAAAGAGAGTGAAGGTTTGATTTCATATCACAATTTTGTATGACCCATAACACTTATGGTGTTACTGAATGCCATTCTATATGAATGACTTAAACATTTAAATGCCTATTTCTCTTCATGCTTTTCTGCATGTACATGTATCAACTTTAGGCCTGCTTAGATGACAATTTAGCTTATCCAGAATAGACTATCTTATCAGAAATTAATATATTCCAGATAATATTATTATGTTTGTTTTTGTATATAATATTATTTAATTACTTAGCTTTTTTCTTGTGATTTCCATCTAGTTTAGCTATTTCTGGCCAAAAACATTAGATTTTCACCTAATTAATTTGAAATAAGTAAAAACAGCTTTTCAAAAAGATAAACATATAAGTAAAACTGCTATAAATTTATATCACATAACTTTATAGTGAATGCTATCGAATAACAAATAGTTCTTTATCAGAAATAGTGAATTATCAGTGATAATAATTACATTCAAACATGCCTACAGTTATACTTGCAGTCTCTTGCATACTGAAATTTAATGCATGCATGTACATAAGGATGTGCATGTAGGCATAAACATGGTAGTACCAACATTGTGATTTCAACTTATTAATGAAATTTTGTTACCGATAAGTAAAAGCATGTTAAAAATAAAAAGTTTGGACTTCTTACAGATATAAGCTATTTTGTGAATGTTTGGACTCATGCATAGGTAAGCAAATTGCTTGAATAATAGGCATGAGAAAGCATTTTAAATAAAGAGATGAATTGGGGTGGTGCGCTCCAGAGTGTTAGATTAGCTCATATATAGTGGTTCGTTTTCTCTTCTACCCCAGTAAGGGCTACTTTTGAAGATCAAAGACTTGGATTGTGTTTATGCTGGTGTTAGTTGAAGAACAAATGAAGTTGTGGTTGTTGAAAACCAAATGAAGTCATGCTCTGTTTTGTTCTTTATGATTTGTTATAAAACCTACTGCCCTCTAATGAATAAGACCAAATGAGGTCATATTCTGTTGTATTCTTTTTAATTCGTTATAAAGCCTATTTCCCTCTTATGAATAAGAGACGTAAACAATCTATTATGGTGGCGATCAAATTGTGCACATCTGCACCTAGATTTAGCTACAGTTGGAAATGCACATACGCCAGTGAACTAGAGAAGTAAATAGTCATGTCTTATTTATGAAAGGGAGAGGAGAAGCTAGGTAAATGCTATTTGTAACATGTCACACCTCACTGTTGTATCTTATACAGTTTTTTTTTTCTGAAATTTAGCTTGTACAGTTTTTCTCCTTGTATCCATGAAATCAGTTCATGACCTGGCCGATTTAGTCATACCTTGGTTCATTTGTTTGCCTTTACAGTTTAATAGTAGTCTCACTATTTCTTTGCACTGTCATGACTTGTAGTCTTACAATTAATGTTGTATTACATCATGTTCATTGTCCATGAATAGTCATAGCCTTTTGTGCATTCCAATCATTCAGTTGCATGCTCATAATCAGCTTTAGATCACTCAAGTCGAATCATATGTTTACCTTGCCTCAGTATCTTGAGGGTGCTCTCCTGTCTTTTGGGATTCCTTCTCTAATATTCAATGATCTTTCTTTAGTTGAAACATGACTCAACTAATTTTGTATTATGTAACTGATTGTCAGTCTCTCCATACTTTACTTTGATAGTTTATTGGTACTTTATGTGGCATGTTCTATAAGCTAATCTACTTACTCATTAAAAATATGCTTCTTGTAATAACAAATTTTGTATCCACACCCCAAAAATTCTTGACAATGGCCTAGAATTCTCAGAGCTTGCATAAATGCTCCGATGTACTATGCGCATTGCCACATGGAAGAATTTTCTTCTAGAGCCAGAAGTAGTCATCAAATGAATAATTCTTCTTCTTTTTTTGGCTTTTAGAGGGAAGCAAAGTTTTTTTGCTTTTAGAAAGAAGCAAATGTTATTGATGAATAATTGGCTTTTTGTGTCTGAGTTCATTTTATCTGCAAATGTAGGCAGCAATGGCAATGAAGAAAACGATGATGAGTCCAGTGAAGATGATGGTGATGGTGTGGAAGATGATCAGGGTGTTGATGGGACGGAGGAAGAAGAAGAATCAGATTTGGATCTCTCGTGGAAAATGCTTGATATTGCTAGAGTAATAATAGAAAAGAATCCTGTTGATACACTGGAGAAGGTAGATGTTATTTCAACTCTGGGAGATGTCTCCTTGGAAAGAGGTCAGCTTTTGTGTACTATAAAACTTCATAGATCTGAAAATTAGTAATATTACAAACTTATGCCGTGAAATTTTTGTTCTAGTTTTCAGCAAGTAAAAAGGTTCAATCACTAAAATGCTGTAACGCTTGGAAGCAGTAAGCTACTTGAATGACTGTTTTGGTGATTCATTCTGTATGCAGAGGACTTCGAGACTTCTTTGGGTGACTACTTTAAGGCTCTTTCTATTCTGGAGTCCCTTGTTGAAAAAGATAACCGCCAGTTAGCTGAATTGTATCCTTTGCAAGAAATTTATGTGTGTTGTGCTAGAAAGGGGGCGGGCCCCTGGTTTTCTATAATGCCAAGAAACAAGATAAATGATATTCTTTCTCAAAAAAACAAGTTAAACGATTTGAAAGATAATAAAAATATAAAGATTGACACTATAGCTACATTTTGCTTGTCTATAATGAAACTGCATAAGCTTTACAAACTTGAAGTCTTAGTTGTTAGATTCTGATATAATCAAGTTGTTTGTTCAAGTGGGAAACAAGAGTCCTTGGGGAGGATTCTATGTAATTTGGCTTCATTAAAAAAATAATGTAAATGCAAAGTATCCCTCAAGTTCTTGATAAATTGTTCTTTTAGAAGAAACCCAGATAATTTTACATACGGGAAAAGTTTATATAGAGCCTACCTGAAAACTTTCACTAGAAGAGGTTGTTTTGATGCCCAAATATCATCAAACTGATCATCTCGAAATCAATATGCACGAACAAGAGAAAAAAATGGATTTCAAGTTTTTGAAAATAGTACATCTGGTAATGCATTTTTGGACCGTCAATTTTTAAGATTTTCAAGTTTTCATAGATCCGCTCGATCTACACTATTTATGAAACTTTAAATTTTATAACTAAAGATGAAAATATAATTTAAGGCTATCACTAAACTTTTCAAGATTGAAACCATATTTCTCGACACTATTTGAAGGTGGGCTCTAATTTGATTGTTTAGAGCCTCGGCTCTGTACAAACCGCACCCCTTTACATAAGGTCTTCTACTTTTTTTCTTTTCAAAAATTTGTGTCATTTTATATCTGATTGTCTGGGCCAGATACTTCATATTTCATATTTCACATTTTTCTTCTTTTTTTTTGTTCATAACCTTGATCAAACTACAATCAGGAATTTCAAGATATGTTTGGCAATGCAGTTGGCCGACAGGCCTGCAGATGCAGTGAAGTATTGCGAAAAATCTATGTCAGTGTGTGAAGCTCGGCTTCAGCGTCTCACATCAGAAGTGAGTGAGTCGACTGCTAAAACCACATCAGTGGATAATGAGAGCTTCTCAGTTGCTTTGGAGGAGGATATAACCAAGTCATCAGAAGGAAATGATTCCAATACTTCTTCGGTTCAGGAAAAGAATAGTGAGATAGAGACCCTTAAAATGCTCTTGGTTGACCTCAAGGAAAAGGTAAGGTTTTCCTTATGTTTATGTTTTGTTTGTTTTATCTTTTGTTTATAGCTTGAAAGTTTCCAACAGTATTACTTAACGCTACTTAGCAACCAGTGAATGCTTTTAAGATGCTGGAAAAGCATAAAAACTCCTCCTCT